GAAGACACTTGTGTTTATTACTGTGACTATTGGCTATAGTGCTGGAAGTATTATTATTTTTATGAAGCATATTAGAGAGCTGCAGTGTGGACTGTAATTGAGTGTGTGCTGTTGAGTACAGTCCTTGGGTGCCTAAAAAGGTCTTATTGTGAAAGAGTGGGAAGTGAAGATAGTCGTTAACTAACCTGTTTCACTGGAGACTGTGGGTGACAGACTTAGGATATTAAAGTGTCTTTGCTCTATCAGTGGTTCACTGGACCCCTTGGGTGCCAAACTCAGGATACTGGAGAGTTGCTGCTCTATCAGTGGTTCACTGGACCCCCTGGGTGCCAGACTCAGGATACTAGAGAGTTGTGGGTGTATCAGTGGTTCACTGGACCCCCTGGGCACCAGACTCAGGATACTGGAGAGTTGTTGGCTGATGTGTAGCTTCAGTGGACACCTAGAAAGAAAGATAAAAAATATCAGCAAGTTGTTGAAGTAATGTTTGTCTCACTTGAGCTCTTGTGTTAAACAGTCAGGACAGGGGAGTTGTTGTGTGATCAGTGTTTTGCTGTAGATGTTGGTTGTGAAGTGTATGATTCCAGAGAAATGCTGGCTGAGTTACAGCTATAATGGTGTGTTGAGAGACAGAATAGAGGGAGAGTTGTTGACTTTAGGTATGGTGTTATGAACTTAATGAAGAGACAAAGCTGCGTTATGGTGTGATGTACAAGTTATGTGTGGTTATTTTGTTATGTACTATGAATATTTTTAGGAGTTGTGCAGTAATTACAGTAAAAGTCTTTTTGCTTAATGATGTTTACTTGGTTAAGCATTTTAGTTTGTGCTTTTTATGAGCATAATGTCCATAAGGGGTGGTAGTAGTGTAGAGTGAGCCTTTGTGTGTAGAACTGCAAATGAAGGCAATGTGATCAATAGTGTGGAACAATTAAGAAAATGTATGTTTTAGTAAGAAATGTGAAAACTGTAAGGGAAATAGGTTGTCACTGAAAGATGGAGTGATTTTGGGTTTGTGAATGTGGGCCAGTGTTTGTAATGTGTATGCAGTATGTAATATGTTCGTAATAGTTTATTTGATTGTATGTGAATGTGAACTGTATGTTCCTTGAAATATTTGAACATAATGTGCTGGCAGTGATGGGCTGAAAAAGCAGGACAAATGGGAAGTTAATTAATATGTGGTATTTGTAAAGATGACAAATAATGACTGCAGTGAATGTGTTTAACATGATTATATGAAGATGCATCATAGGTTATTCTACTGAAAGCATGCAATAAAAAGTTTGCCTTTTTTGCGGTAGAAAGGACATATTTCAAAGATGCACATGGTATCATGTAAATAATGTAAGTTAGTTACTAAAATTTCTGAAATTAACAAATGAATGAAAATATAAGCAAATATTAGCAACTGGGTTATTAGAACAAAGTGTCTATGAAATGTGTTGATAAAAGTGAATTGAATGCTTAACAGAGCAGTTTTCTGATAAGGAAATATGTTGTATATGAGAACACAGTAAAGTTTACATAGAGAAAAATAAGGTGAGGTTGATGCTATGAAAGGTCGTGTAGGTATTAGTAATGCTAGCTAGCTTGGTGTTCTGCAGTACTGAAGAGGGGCAAAGAAGTGTGCTATCCTTAACTGTGTGGTATGACATGTACAATAAAAAACACCCTCTGTTTTGTTTTGTGATAGTATGATCAAAACAGGAAGAACTGACAGATAACCATTCCTAAAAAATGTTCACAACATGCAAGATATGTGGAAACGCTCAGCTGTAGTAAGTAGATAAAAATAGGCGTAGGAGCAGCTACATGCTAAGTTCCGCAGTGGAGACTTAGCACTGGAGATTTAGATGAACGGGTAAGTAAATACTTGATAGCGAAGAAGAAGTACAGAAGGTTTGTAGCATGTTTAAGGAAAAACAACTTACTTTACACTGGAGAACTGTTGAATAGGGTTTGTGCTCGAAAAACCCATGTGACCTCTGAAGCTTATGGATACAATCACATAATATCATTGAAAAACGTATTCAACAGAAACGAACTGGTCATTGTTCATGGTTTTAAGGCAATAAAACTTTATATATATATATATATATATATATATATATATATATATATATATATATACATATACATATGTATATATATATATATATATATATATGTTTAACTTTCATATCAAAGCCCCAGCTTGACTGTGAAAAAATAAGGAAAAGTTATTTCTGTATAGTTCTGTAGACCTTATAAGGGGAGTTTTTAGAAATATCCGCTGTAAAGATGACCTGTAAGGTGATATAAGTCAAGAGTCATGTTTAGGAATTACCTGTAGTGCTTTGCAAATAAATTAGGTTGTTTTAAATGCATTGGAGATCAAGTTTTAGTAGAGTCAATTTAGCAGAGTTGAGTTACAAGTGCAGTTCACCTTTTTAACCACTAGATGTCATTTATGTTTTAAACGCAGAGGAAGGAACCTTTTTCGATAGAGGTTCTACCACGCTTCGCTGGTTCAGGAAGCTTCGCTTTACAGTAACTAGGCAGCAAAAATATGCGTTTTATCAGCTTTATAGGTACAGGGGCAGAGTAAACAGCAGGAAAGAAAGGAAAGAAGTAAAGCAAGTGTTTTTGAGGTAAAAGTTAGTGAAAAGCGGTCAGGAAATGGTTGGTACATATAAAAGAACAATTTTAGGATATATATTTTTATTGGTGCTATTGGTAGTTGCGGGTTCAATAAAGCATGAAAATATTGTGCAAATTATATTTTGTCAAACACGTTGTAGGCTACAGTTAAGGAGCTCAAAGGAGCTTTAAAGAAAATTTGGTTTTATTTTAGTTAAGTTATATTAGATTATCTGGATGAGTTTATGTAGAAGTGTGTAGCAGTTTATTAACTCATATTAGCCAATACCAATAGATCACTGATCATTAAGATTGTGTGTTTTGGGGCACTGTAAGCTGTACTTTTCCAGGTAAGATGAAAGCGGAGAATTTGTGACAGACAGTGTGTACTCTTCGTTGTCCTCGTAAATTTTGATCGTGCCAAAGAGCAGTCTTTTGTAGGTGGCTGTCTTCTGCATCATCTGGCACTGCTGGCAGTTGTGGAACTTGTTCCTGGGGATGAAGTTGTTCTGCCGGCTGCCACAAAGAGAGCACTTCATGGTAGCCCGGATCTCTAACGCGTGAACGGGGCCAGTAATGGAGCTCAACCACGCATCTGAAGAGCCGCAGACGCTGTCGGGGACATGGGGCTCTGATGGGGCTGTAGGTGGTGCTGATGGAGGTGGTAAGTTGAAGTTTGCCCTCAAATGTTCTAGTTGAGAGCTTAGTGAAGGTGTAGGATGACAGTGCCTGGACGGTGTCCACCTGTCTCTCCCACAGCTGCAGCGCCATCTGCGCGGTCCCGTCGGAGATGCAGCAGTTTCTGACCTTGCACTCAACCCAGCAGATGTTCAACGTTTGTACAGATAGACTTACAGCGACCACTTTAGCTTCCACCTGGCTGACCTGCAACCAGAGAGACAAGCAAGGACAAAAAGAGCAGTAAAGTGCAATATTAAAATGCATTAAAGTGCAATTTGCAGCTCATAGAGTGTTTAAAGTGTTTACCTTTCTGCCTAGCGGCATCGTCATGACTTCTTTTAGAGTCTTTTTCTGAGGTGATGGGGGGGCTCTGTGCGGCGAACGGCACTGTGGTGACTGAGACGTCGCTCCTGTTACTCACGATCATGTCAAAGTCTGATGTTCCCCTGAAACCTGAAAAACATAGAATCCTCCATTAGGAAGAGGTGGGTAAACGGTGAGATATTCATAGAGTTGTGCGTAAGAGAAGTACTTACTTAATGCCTTCTTTACGTTTTTTTAAGCAGAGCGGAGTTCCATACCTGCAGAAATGCGTGCCTCTTGCCTGGGCTGAAGACCACCGCATCGTGGAAGTCCTCCCAGCCAGTTTGCAGTACCACATTAAAGAACTGCACACTGTTGCCAGAAAACTTCACGAGGGACACGCTGTAGATGAAGCAGGAAACGGTCTCTTCGTCTTCTCTGGGATGCTTTGCTGGAGTTGCCATGTTGACGGTCAGTGATTCAAGCCCACAAGTAAAGTGTGATTGTCCTGTAGCCGTATTTTACTCCATGTCACAGTAAACAGCAACATTGTTTCAAGTCTTAAAAGAACTGATAATCAGGTTTGAAGCAAAGTTGTTATAGTACCAGACATGTTTGTCTGGAGACCCAGACGAGACATCAATGTTGCAACTTTAACAAGACATTTCACAGTACAGTGTATAGAAGTCCAGACCAACACAATTGTGTAGTGAAGCATTTATTTATGTATAAATTACTCAAAATTTCTACATGTGTTTTCCATTGTGTTAAAATGCAGTGATGGCAGGTGTTTGGTGAAGTGTTTTAAAAGGCATTTAGTAAAAGAAATGGTCGTACTTAGAACCATTTCTTCATTTGATGCTTGTGTTTTTTTAGTGTGTGAAGTTGTTCAGTTTGATGGAGAATGTGTTGTGTGTATATTTCTATGAAGCACAAAATTGTTCTTGTATAGCTATAAGTTTGTCTTTCTAACAACAGCAGAACTGTTTTTGTTATACAGAAGTTCTTTCAAAAAGGTTCTATACAAAACTATATACTACACATTCTACATTAATCTGAAGGTCATCCTGCAAATAACCATTTAACTATGAACTGCTTCTATAGATCTCATGGTTCTTAATAGAATTATTGACTTTACTAAAGAACCCTTGAAGAGCCATCTTTAATTGTGTACTGAAGGAATATTGTTGTCTAATGTACTGTGTTATACATTCTGTAGAGTGTGTGTGAATGTGCTGAAGTTTTAGGCTGTCTATTTTGTGTTTATCCCCATATGGTCATGTCACACCTGTTACTTGTCATGTGGGTTTAATCTTGGCATCAGTCCAACTATAAAACTGTGTCAGTCCAATGTCTTACAGGCTGGCTGGGTGTCTGGAACCTGAGAGCACGCGATGAATAAACTTCACTTGCCCGGACAACAGATCGAGTCCCCTGGTTTGTTAGGGTTTGGATTCTTCAAGTGGTGCCATGACCCGGATTGGCCATCTCATCTCTATGCTGTAGGTGAGTGCCCATTTCGAAGCAAATCCTAAAACCAGTAGGTTATCCTCCTCTCGTTGACGGAACAGAGGGGAAGACCATAGTAGTGTTCCCATAAGCCCATGGCAAGAGAGAAGGCTACCACACAGAGGGGTGGTAGGGAGGCACCTGATTGGTCTGATAATGTTTTCATTGTCAGAGTGGATGAACAGTTATATAAACATATAGACTCATCTAGTTTGGACAAATACTATCAAAAGAAAGTGCCTGTTCATTCAGATATCATCATCAATCTTTTGCAGATTGTGGCTAACTAAAGGTTGAACAGGTCAACCTGACTGGGTTTTTCTTGTCTGAATACCAAGCAGTATCAAATTAATAATGCAGCATTGTCAGAGGCTTTAGTTAGACAAAAAAAAGGCCAAGATTAATCAAACCTCTGTTCACTCAAAGGTTTTACAGGCTCAGGACCTGATACTATTAACTAATTAGCCCAGGCAAACTGCCAAAGAAAACCAAAATGGATACATGTGAACCATACCAAGGTGGTACCACCGCCTGATGGTGATGGCTAGTTCAGGGATAAAATGGGCGACTCTGGTTGGGAGATGATCTGAAGAAGAACTATGATGTTTAGATCATGGGGGTTACCCTCAGAGTGAAGAACTTCCTAATTCCCCTCTGTGGCTAGTGCTCCCCTAGTGCTTGGAACACAACAGTGTGCTGCAGCTCCGCAGGCAGAGGTCACTCCATCCAGTGAAGCTACGTTGGAGAAGATGGAGGCTGTCAATGCTTCTAAGGCAACCAGTGTTGCTGCTGTGAAGGATGAAGGTAACACTCAGTGAAGCAAATAGACCCTGTGCTGCTCAAGCTCAACAAAGCAGAGCACGTAGAGCATGGGAAATACGCCGTGGAGAGAGTGTTGAACTGTGGTCAATTTATGAGGGCATCTTCAGGAGCATTCAGAACGTGTATTTTTTTTAAATGATCTAATCAAACATTTTATGTAAAGGGTATTCAGTGAAGGAGAATCCTTGTGTGTACATGGAGAGGAATTTGTGGTGTCATTAAATGTGCATATTATGCTGTTTGATTTTGTACAGTAGCGCTTTTCTTGACTGAACTGAATTTTTTTGTATGGGAACATGTTAGGGTTTTTGTCTGTACTGGGATGTGCTTCTTTTTTGCACCACTTGGGGGAGACATTTCCCCTCTTTTGCATGCTCTTAGTGTGGTGGAGTGGGCTGTCTTTAACTCCCCCCACCTTTGTGTGTGTGTGTGTGTGTGTTTATCCTAAACAGGGTTGGACCTGGTTAGTACTTAGATGGGAGACTGCCTTTTGCTGTAAGCATTTCAGCTTAACTTTATTTTGATAGTCATTTTTAAATGGAGTCAGAATGATCACAAAGAAGAAGGGGAAAATACGCAATAACATTACATCTAATAAGTGACATAGTGTTGCACCACTTGGTAAAAAAGCAGCATGACCATGTGTAAAAAAAAAGGAGGGATTCTCCAGCCGAATAATAAAGCAAACATCACACATTTGTACAATTGTTTGGAATAATGTTCTAAATTCTTCTTTTTACAAATACTCAGTAACTATTGATAGGAAACACGTACAAACAATTGAAGTTTGATCTCGCCTAGTTGGTGTAAATTTCCATGATGAACACCATTTTTGTCAGTCAGGACAGTGTCTCAGCAGTTGGCCTGTAACAGAGAGCAAATTGGATTTTGAAATCCTTTTATTTGAATGTACATTGATTCACTTCCTATAATTAATTTGCATAGATTTTTAAAACAAGTGCATTTTTTTAACTAGAAAAAATGTTCTGTATACCTTTTTATTAGTGATCTTGCTGAGCATGTGGAACCAGTTCTCAATAAAATTTTGTATGAAATGAGCATATTAAAATAATAATAAAAAAAAAAACACTTTTGTCTTTCTCAATTTTTTCTTAATTTCCAGTTTCAACTTTCTAATTTTGAGTCACACTTTATTTTTAGCAGCTGTATTTTGAAGTCATGTGAACATCTGCTTCCTCGTGCTGGTCCTGCATTTTCAGAAGATAATTAATACCGATGAACATTACAGACTCTCTGGAGCATTTAGGTGTATTTAGTGGTGCTGTAATATAATTTAAAATGTGTTTAAGTGTATTGTAGGTGTAGTACAATTCACACTGAATAGATCTGAAGTATATCCAATACAGGTAACACAGGTGTAATAGCATTTACAAATTACATACTCTAATAAAGTTTGAAACAAGCATTCAAAATCACTGCTGCAATACGGCATTTAACCCCTTAAAATCCCAGACTTACATACTAGTGCTTATTATTCAGTAACCACAGGGACTTGCAGACTGGCTGAGCTATTCTTAGGTTATAGAACAGTGGGCTGGATCATTTAAGGGGTTAAAGAAAATTTTATCTTTAGCTTAGTTACAATTTAAATCTTTTTATGTATTAAAGTGTGGGCAACACTTTACTTGAACCCTGCTACATAACATAATCATAATTGTCTGTCATTAAAATGACCATGATGGTAACATGACAATGCTATATTGATAAACAAAAACCATGTTACAAATGATACCATTTTCATTCATCTTACTGTACTCTGATCATTTGTTGCTTTCTCTCCTCCCTAGTGCTGCCTGTTTCATGGGTCTCATCTGTGTTTTTAAGCCCTTCCCTCTCTCACACATGTTATTATAGGCTCCTTTGGCATCTGCGCAAGAATTTTCATTGCAGAGCCATGGAGAACCCTGGGAGACCTACGCAACTTGGTGAGAGATTTTTTCTTTATAAAAGGGCATTAATTAAAACAATGACGGGGCGATTAATAACTACTTTTATACTTAAATGACAAGGTAAAGAATGGGTATATTGTAGGCTAAACAAACAAAAATTTAGAGAATTCGCTTAACAGATAATTAATATGAAGCTTAACAGTAACTGTGTTGTATTAAAGCTTTAGCCAACTTAAACACAGACAAAACTCAAAAATCCTAAACTTACTTTCATGGTTTGGATTAGACAATCAAAGGTTAAGGCACAGAGACTCAGGTGTTTAAATATTTTGTTAATTTTTATTCTAAGGGTTTTAATATAATGGCTTTGTAAGAGTTTTATATCCTGCCATGTTCTGATTCACCAGCAAACTGATTTATATGATTTCAAACAGCACGATTAAAACAGTACAATGTACTTATTATTCCTATATTATCACTACTACTAATACTACTAATATAATACTTATAATAATAATAAGGTACAGTAATTGTAATATATTTTAAACATGTATTGTAATTGTAATTATTATTGTAATTATTATTATTATTATTATTATTATTATTATATTAAGTTAACTCAAACACTACTTCACTGGGGAATATATATGAGGTGAAACTTATACCAAATTCCTTTAGTCATTGATCGCTATGAGAAAGACCAGAGAAAAAAGCAATGATGTGCTCAGGTCTTTTGCCATGTGTTCTCCAGACTTATTAAGCATTATAGAAGACTCAGAGCTGTTATCTATGCAGTGAGAGGCTGCATGAAATATTAAATGAAGGACTGCCAACAATTGTGGCACACAGATTTGGGAAAAATGTTTAGTTCTTTTTTTCTTCAATCATTGTAATAATGAACATTAGATTTTTGTTAATATTTTGAATAAAGGATCAAAAGGATAAGCAAAAAAGAATGTTTTTTTCTACAGACTGTTTTTCTTATGTTCACCAGGAAGCACTGTATTTTGTTTTGAAAGATGTCAGCATTAGCCTAGCAGTTTCTGTGTCTTATGTTCGCTTATTTGCTAAAGTGTGTAAATCTAAATCTAAATCTAAGTCTAAATCTATCTGATAAATGTATTATATCCACATTTTGCAGATATTCAGTCATAAATTGAATACCCATGGCTATAAATTACAGCTGTTTTGTCCTTTATGTATGAACTACTAGCTAATACCATTCATCAAAGCTAATGATGAATTATTAGTAATAACACATTATTCCTGTTAGTTGTTCAAGAAGGTATGCTGAGTATTCAGTGATTTTTCTTTCTCCAGTTCATCATTCTAGTGTCTTTGGTAAGTGATTTAAATCTAGCAATTTAGATAAAATAAATATTCAAGATTAAAACCTCTGTAATGATGTAGACTAATGCTTCTGTGTAACTTTGGAATGACCCCAACTTAGGTCTACTTATGAAGATTTAATGCATTAATCATGAGGAATTAATATGGTCTTCTGTTGTTCTATTACTAACAACTCCACCATTCTGTACTGACATCATTACATTATATTAGACCACTCATAAATCATTAGCTTTACTAATACTTTATAAAGTGCAAACAGTAAGTAATCAGGTGACTTGGAGCCAGGAAGTGGATTGTAACTGGTGGAGGCAGTACGAGTATGTGTCATGTGATCTCCTGTGGGACCCTGGGAGTTGTAATTTATGGACTTGACAGAGTCGGCTGCTGAAATGGAGTGAGGAGTACTACAAGGTGTGTCGACAGGAAGCATGACAGTTTGTTCATAATTGTTCCATGAATATTTAATTCTCTGCATACTTTGTTAGCCCCCTTTTACCCTGGTCTTCAGTGGTCAGGACCCCCATGGACCCTCACAGAGCAGGTAAAATTTGGGTGGTGGATCATTGTCAGCACTGCAGTAACACTGATGTGGTGGTGGTGCTGTGTCATGATCCACTCATTTCCCATCAGCACAACACACACTAACACACTACCACCACGTCAGTGTTAGTGCAGTGCTGAGAATGAGAGCTGGTTTGTAGTTCAACAAGGTGAGTGACTTGAGTAATGGGTCCCGTGCCAACCAGTTCTACATCCAGCTCTGACACTTTAAGAGGAGTTTGAAGAGGTTCCACAGGGATTTGTAGCTGGGATACCACCTTGGCGTGGATGAAATTTGCCTCGGCTCCTGAGTCAATCAAGGCTGGCAAAATAAGAGAATTCTGGCAGTAAATAGTTACAGGTATCATGAACGATTTAGTAACCAACCCCTTAGCACGAACACTCACACATTTTTAGGAAAATTGCAGTGTAGCAGCAGAATAATGGTAATAATAATAATAATAATAATAATAATATGGTTTTACACTGAGTTACGCTAGCGTGTTATATTCATGTCAGGGAATGAAAGTTCCAGTGAATGATTTTGACAATGAAACATGATAGAAAATGGCCAATTCCCTGGGCTGTCCGAACTTCTGGTCTCCTACTCTCTTCCTGGTTCTCTGTTGGGGACTACTGGGGAAAGTTAACAATAAATCACAAACATACCACAGTAAGGCAAGTGAAGGCAGGCTTATTTGTACAGCATCCATCATACACAGTGGCAAATCAATGTGCTTTACACAAACAGAAAAATAAAAGCATTAGATAATAACACAGCTTATGACATCCTGAGATCCAGCACTTCAAAAAAGCGTTTGCAAGAATTGCTACAAAAATATGCAGAAATGCATAAGAAATAAGCAAAGCTATTAAGATTATAAGTAAACAAACAACCAGTAACAGTAACACAAAACAAACAAACAATGTAAAGTGGCTGCTGAAATGTGCAGTGTTCTTACACTGGACACACATGTTTGTAAAAATAACTGCAAGAGAGTAATGTAATGACCTTAGGGGAAAAAAATCCTGTCCTTTCCATCAAAAAGATAGCAACAGAAAAGAAATACAAATATAAAGGAAACAAATTCTGCAGGAGTGTACTATAGTGGTGCTGAGACAGTAGTACATTAACACCTAACATATTTTACACTGTTGTCTAGTGCCTGAACTGAGGCTTGTTCTGCTGGGGAAGAACAGCTCAGAGATCAGCAAAGTGGGAAACGTCATCCTGGGTAGAGACGCATTTGATACTGAAGCACCTCCTCCTTCAGGACAGCAGCACAGTGAGAGGGCCAGCGGAAATGTGGGGGGAAGATACATCACCCTCATTAACACACCTCACCTGTTTGATCCTCAAATCTCTGTAGCAGATCTGACTGAAAGAGTGAAAGAGTGTGTGCCTCTGTGTGCTCCAGGACCTCATGCGTTTTTACTGGTGCTGCAGTCGGATAACTTCACAAAGCAAGATCAGATCAGAACCAAAAATATACTGAGAATGTACAGCACACTGGCTCTTCAATACTCTGTACTGTTAACTATAGGTGAAGACCATGGTTTGAGTTTCTACTTGTCTCTGTTTGTTAGTGACTGTAATGTGAGACAGCACGTATTTGAAAACATATCTGAAGTTGACAATCATCAGGTTCTTCAGCTTTTGGAGAAGATAGAAGAGATGGTGAAGCAGAATGGAGGAGACCACCTGACTAGTGAAATTGACCAATCGCTTGAAGTTGAATCAACAGCAGAGAAGCACTCTGCAGCACCTGGAAGAGGCCACGCTGAAAAAGGTGGAGGAATGAATCCTAAACAAAAGGTTTTACAGCTGAAAAAAGTATGATAAATCTGTATTTGGAAGCCCTTTATTTAGATTATCTAGATAAACCATTTCAAACTCTAAAGTGCTTTGTAATTATTCTGGGTAACATGATGGTAAATTCAAGACAGTCTTTACTTTTTTTTATTTAAAACTGCTATGAAGCATTTTGCAATGCAAAGTTCACTTCTTCAAAAGTCTTTACATTTGTCTCTGCAGCAAGATGGAGCATGGCACTACAGTTAATTTTATACTCAAAATGTTCTGCAGCTATAAAAACATTGCACAATTTTTTTCAGTGAATTACTTTGCAATTCATTACTTGTGAATTAAAAAAAAAAACAAAATGATACATTTTGAACAAATTAAATAATAGAAACTAAGTAATGCAAGACTTCACATTGTGCAGTTGTGCACCCCTGCTGTACATTATCTACTGTAAGTTTTGAAAAAGAGTACTCAGTACTGAAAATGCTTCTTAGCAAATGCGAAAACTATACTGAACTAAATTACAGTATGGTGCTATACTACGAATTACAAATTGTGAAAGAAAAAATTATTTCAAAGATAGTATTTTAAGTAAGTAAGTAAATCAGGTATATCACTGGGTAGTTATTAATGTAATGTCTTTGTATATCATGTTTGTCAGTAGCACTATATAAAAACTAAATATTGATGCATCACACTGGCTCTATAACTTGTAAGAAATTTGTTTGAGAATTTTTCCCTTTTTTCAGAACACAGGATTGTTCTGTTTGGAAAGAAAAGCTCAGAGATCAGCAGAGTGGGAAACTTCATCCTGGGCAGAGACGTGTTTGATACTGAAGGACCACCTCCTTCAGTAGAGCAGCACAGTGAGAGGGCCAGCGGAAATGTGGAGGGAAGATACATCACCCTCATCAACACACCTCACCTGTTTAGCCCTCCCGTCTCTGAAATGGACCTGACTCAGAGATTAAAAGAGTGCATGTCTCTGTGTGCTCCTGGACCTCATGTGACAATGCTAGTCCTACAGCCAGATGACTTCAATGAGACAGACAGAAACCAAGTGCATGTAATCCTCAAACATTTATCAGGGGAGGCCCAAAAATACACTCTGGTGCTAACAACACATAGGCTGCCATTAGACACTGAGGTGGCTGCAGATCAAATTGAAGAGAGTGTTTCTCAGGTTATTACAGACTTCAGCAACAGGCATTTTGAGTTTGGCAGTGAATGCAGTCATTCTGCTCTTGTGGAGATGATGAACAATATAGTTGAAGAGAATGAAGGTACTCACCTGAAGTGGGAGATAAAAGAGGATGATCCACCAGCAAGAGAACAGAAACAACATAAACAAACAGTGAAGAGGAAAAAAACAATGTCACTAAAACATGAACCACAGAAGTTCACAGAAGCACAGAAATTCACAGAAAAATGTGAGTAAAGGTTTGACAACTAAGTAGTAGTTTTTGTTGAATTGTTTATTCATGGCTTTGAAAAATAATACTAATTGTCGTTGTTGTTGTTGTTGTTGTTAGTATGCTTTATTTGTGTAGTGCTTTTCTTAACCTCAAGGTCATTTGACAAAATCCACAAATGAACCAATACCAAGCAAACAACAGTAACAACAAAAAAATGCCATTTGCTGTGGAAAATTCAACATAGGGCATCCTGAGTAGAGCAGTATGTGAGGACCTAAGTATATGGGCTGGGATATAAAGATGAATAAGTTCAGCAATATATGGAGGGGCAAGTCCGTGGATGGGTTTGAAGGCTATGAGCAATAATCTGTATTGATTCCGAAACCTATATTGATGCAATGGCCTGTAATGAAGACTCTGCGCATGAAAAACAATGCCCATCGAGCCTGGCACGGATTCAGACGTTTAGCTTATTTAATGTATTCCAAGTTTCTGTGATCCATTAGAATGGTGAAAGGGTGGGCAGCGCCCTCGAGCCTGTGCCTCCATTCCTCCAAAGCCATTTTGACAGCCAACAATTCACGATCGCCTACATCATAATTTCGCTCAGCAGGATTAAGCGTCCTGGAATAGAATGCACAGGGTGGAGTTTAGCAGGGTTACCATGACTTTAGGAGGGAACAGCTCCTACCTTCAGTTTTGATTCATCTATTTTAACCCCTTGTGCGCTGATGACATACCCCAGAAATGAAACCACATGCTTATGCAACTCACACTTTTCCAATTTGACATACAGGCTGTTCCTTTGGAGGTGTTGTAGCACCATCTTGACATGAGTTATGTGTTCAGAGAGTGAGGGAGAGTAAACCAGAATGTTATCAATATAGACTATTACCCACTTTTTGAGCATGTCTCTGAACACATCATTGATGAAAGATTGAAATACAGCCAGGGCATTTGCCAGGCTGTACAGGACCACCTGATACTCATAATGGCCAGTTGTTGCACTAAAAGCTGTTTTCCATTTATCACCTGGCTTGATATGTATCAAATTGTAAGCGCTTCGAAGGTCCAACTTGGTGAATACGGTGGCTCTTTTGAGCTGTTCAGTGGCAGACAGGACAAAAGGTAAGGGGTAGCAGTATTTCACTGTTATTGCATTGAGCCCTCGACAGTCTATACATGGCCTTAATCCTCCATCCTTTTTTTCAACAAAGCAGAAACCCACTGTGGTGAGAGAGATAGAAGGGCACATGTAGCCTAATTTTCGAGCTTCCTCTACATATTCTTCCATGGCTTGAGTCTCTGGAACAGACAGGGGGTAAATTTGACTCTTAGGGGGCATGGTACCAGGAAAAAGGTCAATGGCACAGTCTATGGGCGTTTTCACACTTGGGCCGTTTCAGCGTCTGAAGTGGACTCAGATTGCTGAGTCATGGTTTCTTTTGCATATGTGAACACGCCAAACGAACTCAGACCCCCCTATATGGCAACAAAAACGAACCGAACCGAGATCACCTCGAGAGGTGGTCTCAGTTCGGTTCGTTTGTAGTTCGTTTTGTGGTTCGATTAATTTGTGCATTGTGTAAACAAAACACCCTCAGTCCGCTTCAGCTTTGCTTTATGCTGAAGACCTCGAGGCTCGCCGTACACACAGCCACAGTCTACACTTTAGCAGGTAAAACAGACCAAGGATCATTATAAGGTTCTACTCAGGATAAAGTCAGTCCGTGATCTGAGACAGACAGCAGCGCTGACTTATTAAAGCGATCAGATGATTTATCAGAGAACGCAGCCCACTTGGCGTTGTGCACACCGTGAATGCTGTGAAAGGGGTCCGAGTTCTAATGGAGTTGTTGGCTGAGTCCTCTTTAGAGTTCACTTACATTGTGAACACAAAAAGAACTGAGGTCACTTGCAGTTGGTTCCCTTCCAGGTTCACTTTAACAGAACTCGGTTCGGTTCTTTTAAAACAAATTATATGTGAAAATACTGTATATCTCTGTGAGGGGGAAGGGCTGCAGCCTTAGTTTTACTGAAAACTGAAGAGAACTCGGTATATTCAACGGGTAGTGGCACTTGAATTTCAGTATCAGGACTTTCAATAGAAGTTGTTAAACATGGCAAAGTCATACAGCGGGAAAAGCAGAATGAACTCCATTTCTCTAATTCTCTGCTGGACCAGGATATTGTGGGGTAGTGAGTGGATAGCCAGGGGAACCCAAGAACAATGGGATTTTCAAGAGAGGGAATGGCTAATAGTGACAAGCTCTCAGAGTGCAAGAGTCCTGTGATGACGGTTAAAGAAGGAGTGGCAGCTATAATCTGACCAGAACCAAGGGGTTCCCCATCCTTTAACGGTCAGAGGTGATTTTATTTTGTGGAGGGGAAAGTGAAGTTTGGCAGCAATGTCTTGGTCGATAAAGTTTCTGGCAGCTCCAGAGTCAATCAGTGCTGGGAGAGAAAGACGTTGAGAAACCCAAATTAGTGTTACAGGTAGAGTGAACTTGCAACTTTCAATAGGAGAATATATGGTCTCACTCACACATTTGGGGTTCTTGAGAGTGGGGCAGTCACCTGGGGCAGTCACCTCCTTGCTGGCCACAGTAAAAGCAAGGACGCTTACGCATGCACCTTAGCCGTTCTTCTGGGATAAGCTGCACATGACCAATCTCCATGGGCGCAGAGGTAGACTGAACCACAGAACGGATAGCAGAGGAGCTAGTGGCAGGACAGTGCCTGGAATGAAAGAGACTGTCCAAAGTGATGGATAATTGTATGAAATCCAAAAGGCTATTGTCACTGTCCCTGCATGCCAAATCTGCTTGTAGGGCTTCCTTAAGGCTACGGTGGTAAACTGCTTTCAAAGATTTCTTGGCCCATCCGGCTTTAGCAGCGAGTGTTCAGAAGTGCAAAGCGTGCTCAGCTGCTGTCTTGTTCCATTGTTTGAAGGATAGTAAAAGCTCTCCAGGATCTCTATTGCTAACTGGGTGATCAAAAACCTCCCGGAACACACGTTCGATGTTTGCGTATGTGGAGGAATCGGGTACTTAAGCTTGCCACGTAGCCATAGCCCAGGAGAGAGCTTTACCAGTGAGCAGGGACATGACAAAAGCTATCTTGGATGAATTAGTGGGAAAAGCAGCAGAGGCATGAGAAAAATCAATCAAGCACTGCATTAAAAATCCCTTACACAGACCAGGGGAACCGTTGTATTTATCAGGAAGGGCTGGCTTAACAGAAGGGAGTGAAGAGTCAGAGGGAGATGGGGAAAGCTGTACTGGAGACTGTGGGGAGACTTGAGCATGCTGGGGGGCTTGAGCAGACAGAGGAGCTGGAACCTGAGGGTTACGAACCAAATCAAGCAATTTGTCAAGGGTATTTGTGAGGTGCAATAGTTGTTGTGCGTGAGGGCCCAATAGTTGGCCTTGAGCCAAAAAAGCAGCACGGAGATTAAATGGTCTTTTGGATTCTGGGTAGGCAAAGTATTCTGTAATGAAGAGTCTCCAGATGGGTTTGAATCCATAATTCCCATTTACTCAAAATAGAGTATCAAAATTCACAAAAAGCAGAATAGATCACAACACAGCAAAGGTAACAAATGGAGTTCAAAAAACAGAGTCAAAGAGTTCAGAAAAGGGTCCAGGAAATCCAACAGATGAAGAAACAAGGCTTGGTACGCAGATGAACTGGCAATACTTCGCAAAGATCCAGTGTGAGTGAAGATCCTTATACAGGAAGGTTAATGAGCTGCAGGTAAGAGAGGTCAAGATGTCACTAGGAAGCAAGTCAGTACTCAGGTGAGGCTAACCACTGGTGACAAAGGCAGGTAATACACCTGACAGCGCCCTTGGGAAACTGTGGGGGATTTGTGTTGCTGAATCGTAATAAACTGTTGTCTGTGAGATATAAACCAGGAAAGAATGACACCTGAAATACCAATAGCAAAGAAGCAAGCAGTAAGTGTATAATGACAGACTGTATCAAAAGTAGAGCTGGGGCCAAGAGCTAAGTACCTCAAAATATGAAGAAACTAAAATGTCCTAAGCAGTCTCAGCACTGCCGAAAGAATGGAAACCAGACTGGAAATATTAAAATAAATTATCTGTAGCTATGTGGAGCTGTAATTCAGAGGCAGTCTTTTCCCAACACTAAATATGGAAGATAGATATTAGTTGGTAGTCATTTAGATTAGTTTTTAGATATAATGGCATAATTCTAGGAGCAGGGGACTCATCAAGGAAGACATGGGAGGAGAGATATTGCCAGACATTTTTAAAGCAGCCAAATGGCAAAAGGATCTAGCTGGCGTGTTGTAGAGTTACATATTTTAATTAACTCTGAGATGGCTGATTGGCCAGATGTCTGGTCAGGATAAAATCAGTAATAGGGTGAACAGAGGGTCCAGTAAGAAATCCCTGAAGAACAGTGTCAGATGGTTTGTGAGTTTAGAATATATATATATATATATATATATATATATATTTTAAACATTCAAAAATGTTGACTATGGAGGAGATGTTACATGAATGGTCAGCACTGACAGCAGACTATTTTTACTATTATTATAGACAGACTTGTATCATTATAGACAATGGAAAGCCAGCAAGGCCAAATTTTTTAGAAAGCCACTCAAATAAAATGGCCTGCTGCTTACATGACTCAGAACTCAGAAATTATCTGAGGAGAGGAATGAGAGGGGGGTGCACACTTTCAAGTAGGCAAAAGACAAAGGAAGCTCATAGAGAGGTAGATAAAGACTGATGGTTAGTTGATTTAAGGCTCTGATAGTGTTTTTTATATTTGGAAACTTGAAACTTTTAATAGGCACATGACCATGTATGCCAGCCTAGAAACCAAAAATACCAACATCACTTAGACTAGAGGAACAAACCAGATTTAAAAAAAAAAAAGAAAAGAAAAAAAAGTAGGTTTAAAGGTGAAATTCTGTCATGTTTAACATTTGTCAAAGCCAAAAACACTCCTTGTACAAGCACTGTCAACCCAATGAAACCTACATTATATTGCCAAAAGTATTCACTCACCCATCCAAATCATTGAATTCAGGTGTTCCAATCAATTCCATGGCCACAGGTCGCTCTCAGGAGCTCAGTGAATTCCAGCATGGTATCGTGATAGGATGCCACCTGTGTAACAAGTCCAGTCGTGAAATTTCCTCCTGTCCTGACCTCAACCCGATAGGACACCCTTGGGATGAATTAGAGCGGAGAGTGTGAGCCAGGCCTTCTCGTCCAGCATCAGTGTCTGACCTCACAAATGCTCTTCTGGAAGAAGGTCAAAAATTCCCATAAACACACTCCTAACCCTTGTGGAAAGCCTTTCCAGAAGAGTTGAAGCTGTTATAGCTGCAAAGGGTGGGCAGACATCATATTAAACCCTATGGATTAAGAATGGGATGTCACTCAAGTTCATATGTGTGTGAAGGTAGACGAGCGAATACTTTTGGCAATATTGTGTATGTGTTTACAAACAATAATTTGTTGATAATCATTACATTTCAACATCATCAGGATACAAGCCTCATGTTGTTGACATGCACCGACAGCTCAGATGGGATTCAAACCCAACACCCTCAGTTCAGAAGGGCAATGATTTCATGGTGAGCCACACATGGAGTTCTTTTTGTGGTGATTTACTGGAGGGGGCAATAAGGAGCCAAGCACCATTGTAGTAACTTGTTCCCAACTTTCCATTATTTTATTATTGCCATCTGTTATTGAGAGTTACATTTTGAAGATTTTTCAATGCGTAATTCCATATTTATATTCCAAGTTAGTTACATTTGGTGACTTTTGCAATGACAGCTCAAACAGAATTCAAACCCAGCACTTTTGCATCAGAAGGGAGATGTTTTCATGGTAAGCCACAAGTGGCCCAAGTTAACAGAACTTTCATTTGTATGGGGGCACTTTTTCTGTATTTACTGTTTTTATGTACTGAATTTCAGTGTGTCTGGATATGTGATGTGAATATTTCATTTTGGGACAATGTTCATTTGTCTCTTCACATGGGAGTGTAGAGTTTTGATAATGTGTGTGACTGAGATGTGTTTCCTGAAATGTGTGAGCATTTGAGAAAATTTCCAGCACCATTTCCTGACCATGAATGTTCTGAAATGATTATGAAATTGTAATAGATTGTTACTATACCATTTCTGAATATGCCATGAAAGCTGCAAGTATATGTAGGTAAAGTATTGCTGAACTTAGGTGAGGGTGTAAGAAAACTTCAACTTGTGTAACATATATACCTCACATACATTGTAATGTTAAAATATAGCCACAAAATCTACCCTAAACTACCCTTTATGTGCAGGTATTTCATTGTAGTTGCATTGTTTCTTACATCGTAATAACATCGCTGTAAAATAAAGTGTTTAAAATTTTGCTTGAAAACCTGAAAAATGTTGTGTTAACTAAGTTCAGGTTTGGATGGCTTTAGTTTAACGGAACAGAGTGCTAGTGCTCTCCAAACTCTACAGTATGTATTTATGTAGTTTTACACAAAATGTTTAACAAATCTGCACTGTGTCAAAATCAAAGAATAGTGTTTAGAGGAAAGTGTTGACGTTTTGCTTGTTTTTATATCTTGCTGTAGGTTTCCCTACCTTTAAACTAGACCCACAATGTCATTTTGTTTCTCTTTCAGTGTCTCAAAGGCTGAACTTGGTTCTGTGTGGGAGTAACAGAGTGTTGAAGTCCCCCATATCAGATCTTATACTTGGTCAGAGAGAGCAAAGTCCAGAGCCCAGTTCAGTGTGTGTGAAGCGGGAGGGAGAAGTATTTGGACGTCTGATCACTCTGGTGGAGATGCCAGCTCTCTACAACACTCAGCTGTCAGAAGAGAAAGTTATGCAGGAGACTCTTCAGTGTGTCTCTCTTTGTGATTCTGGAGTTCATGCTTTTCTCCTCATCATTCCTGAGGGCCAAGTCACTGATGAAGACAATGGAGAAATAGAAAAGATCCTGAGAATATTTAGCTCCAAAGTCAGTGATCATTTAATAATTCTTTTTACCATGGAGAATGCTGCGATGGATGTTGTAGAACATATCAAGGAAACAAAATCCCCTTTTGCCATTTATGGACAAAAGTACAGAATACTGGAATTGAAAGTGGGAAAAAATCCCAAACAAGTTCCAGAGCTGTTGGATGAAATTGAGAAAACAATGAAAACAAAGCCATATTCTCTGCACATGTACATAAAAGCGCAAGAGGAAAAAATCCAAACTCTAAAAGATACTCAAAGAAAAGAGCTGAGTGAAATGGAGAAGAAAACCCCGGAATTAAAGGCAAAGATCCAATTAGAAGGTGGGCACTTTTTAGATGAAGTCAGCAAGGTCCATATTGGATTTAAGTGCTGCATATTCATGCACTTCCTTTATAGTCCAACCAAAAACATTAGTATTAGTGGTTTGGCAAAAAATAAAAAAATCATGATTTTCCCCTTATTTCAAACAATCATTTCTTGTTTTTAGTGAAATTATTAATATACAGCCAATGTTGGGTAAAAAAGGTAATGAAAAATGTCTTTGTGTCATGCAATCTCGCAATAAAAATATGAGAGGAAGCTAACCTATAATGGACGTCTAAGAAAACAAACATAGAAACTCAAAAAAAGAAAAAAATGTATAAATATGACAGGACAAATTCCCTTAGTCATTCATCAGTGTGTGGAAGATTACAAATGACACAAATGAAATGAGACAAAATTGTTGGAGATTTTCAGAAGATGGTAGCATTTTGGAGGTTGCCAAAGCTACAATTAGATGCCACGTCCATGTCAACAAACTATTTGCAAGGTATGCCAGAAGACAGCCTTTTCTTTGATCTAAATGTTGTCACCTGGAGTTCCCTAGACGCTACTAGAACTGTGTTCTATGGATAGATGGAACAAACGAGATTTTTGGCAACAAAAACTCAAGGTGGGTTAAGTGTAAAAAATGCCCCTCATGGTGTAAAGTCTGTCTCCAAGTACTTGGCCCTGTGAGAAATATTCCAAGGCCTGCCTTGCTTTCTATTAGAGTTTTAGCACTCAGCATGAATCCAAGAGGAGAGGAAACCAATAAAAATATGATCGTCTTATGCAAATCATTACTTTTACTCAGTAATAAGCAATAGAATAAACCATCATCAAATTGATTGTTTTTTTTTCAGCTCATGTACACTCTAATCTATAATTCTGAAAAGATTCTGAAATATCTTTCAAAAATTCAAGAGGCACAAAATACATTTTTAATATTCAAAAATGCCTACATTTATTAAGATATCAATAATCTGTTTGTATTTACATATCAAATCATGACATATCTGATCTAGGGTCTCCTGAAAATAACATGAGCAAATATCTCATGTGAATGCTTTGCAGTTGTAATTTTATTTGACCAAAATACCAAAAAATAAGCAAATTCATCCCTGGGTGTACTGGGTTAAAGTCTTAGCTTTAGTGTAACTAGTAAAACTAGTTACTGCTTGTAGCACAGCATGCGCTACCCCAGGCTCAAGGAGGACGCTGAAGGCAGGAGAAACATTTGCAGCGATTACTTTAATTTTCACACCAAACTTACAACACAAAGCAAACAAAACCAAACCTAGGCTGGACACTTTTTAGTGGCTTAAAACAAGACTTTTTAGTCCTTTTCTCACTCAAGCCCCTGCTGCTGCTGCTGCTGCTGCTTGTCCCTCTCTCTCTCTCTGTTCCCTCTCTGCTCTTTTTAAAAGGCGCTCACACTGCCAGCCAGATCCTGAGCACCTGAGCCGAGAGGGAAGCAGAGCTCATTGCTCCACCTCCCCATTACTGCCCCCCCGCTCAGCTGCTTGGCCGCCTGGATCAAACATGAGGTGAAGTGAAGCGGGCTCACTGCGGAATAGGACCCTTCGTGCCGCTCGTGGCCGTCATCGTCGTCCTCCCCTTTTCTGGTGGCTGACGTCCTCCTCCCGCCAACATTCACGTCCCTCAGCGAGGTTCGGGATTCGAGTCCCGCCTTCCTGCTGGCTCACGTGGCCATCACTGGGGCCCAGGGAACATGCGCATGCCATACTGCTCCCTCTTTCCCAATAATTTATCAAAGTTACTCCCCATATTTTTTTTTTATCAACAAACAAAACAGCAGACCTCAAAGACATATTGTCTCTAATGTACCAAATGTTGATTTGGCCACACCTTGTGTTTTTGCTATTTCTCTGATGGGTTTGTTCAGATTTTTCAGCCGAATGATGGCTTGCTCTCTGGCAGTGACAGTTTTTTGGACTTCATATTGAGAGTTAACAACAACAGATTATAAATAAAAATGCCACACTTGAAATCAAATCTAGACCTTTTGTCTGCTTACTTGTGAGTAAAATAATGAAGGAGCATCTGGCCACAGAACGGACGAGTAGCCTATTGTCCAATTACTCTTGTGCCACTATAAATAGTGGGAGCTATGTATGAAAATTGTTATATGGTGTTACCACACCGTTCCCCCGATTTGAATACCAATAACCTGATATTAAAGCTGAAAGTCTGCATTCTGCACTCATATTTATTATTAAATTTGAAGTCTAATATGCTGTGGTAGACATTTAAAGTAACTTTTTTTAAAATGTCCAAATATTTATGGACCTGACTGTACATTAAATATACAGTTACATATATCTTCTGCTAATGTCATTTTTAGGATATGAAGACGAACTACTGGATTTGAGGTGCTTGAGGATGATACTCATTGGAAGAACAGGAAGTGGAAAGAGTGCAACAGGAAACACTATCCTGGGAAGAGATGAATTTGTGAGTGAAGCTAGTTTGGATTCTGTGACAAAGGTTTGCAACAAAAGAGTTGGTGAAGTTCAGGGGAAGTCAGTCACTGTTGTTGACACTCCAGGACTGTTTGACACCGCACAGTCAAATGAAGAAATACCAGAAGAAATTGTGAAATGCATCTCAATGTCAGCACCTGGACCTCATGCTTTTCTCATTGTAACGAGTTTGGGAAGAATTACCCAAGAAGAATTAGACCCTTTACATCTGATAAAAACGGTCTTTGGTCCAAAGGCTGCAATGTTCAGCATAGTGCTGTTCACTGGAGGAGATGAGCTGGGAAATCAGCCAATAAGTCAATACATAGAGGAATGTAAAAATGAACAAATCAAGAAACTGCTCAGAGACTGTGGAAATAGGTTTGTAGTGTTCAATAACAGAGAAAGAGAAGACCACACTCAAGTTTCTGAGCTTTTAAGACAGATTCAAACAATGGTAAAATCATACACAGACCAATACTTTACAAACAACATGTTTCAAGAGTCAGAAATCTCCATCAAAAAGAAAATGGAAGAAATTTTGAAAGAAAGAGAGAAAGAGATTAAAGCTGAAAAGGAGAAAATGGAAGAAATTCTGAAAGAAAGAGAGAAAGAGATTAAAGCTGAAAAGGAGAAAATGGAAGCCCAATACATCAGCATAATGAAAGAGATGAAGAAGAGACTGGAGGAAGAAAAAATCAAGGGTGGTGAAGAAAAACAGCAAATGGAGAGAAAGTTCAGAGAAAAGTTGGAAGCTCTCCAAAAAGAGTTTGAGGAAAAAAATGAAATAGAGAAGGAGAAAAGGGAGACGGATGACAAGGCAACGTCAGAGGATAAAAAAAAACAAACGGAGAAATGGCACCAGATACTGAAAGAGGTAGAAATAAAGAATAACAAGCAGAGAGTTACATTTGAAAAACAGCTAAATGAAAGGGATGAAGAAGATAAAAAGAGGGAAGAGAGATATAAACAAGACGTAGAGAAACTCAGAAATGAGCAAAAGCACACTATGGAGGAGCTGATAAGGACACAAAAGGAAGAGCTTCAAAGGAGAGCTTCAGAGGAGCACAGAAGGAGAAAAGAAGAAGAAGAAGAGAGGCAGCGTTGGGAGAGAAAAATAAAAGAGGCTGAACATGAGAGAAAAGAGATTCGAGAGGACCTAAAGCAAAAGCAGAAGGAATGGGAAGAAGAGAAGAAAAGACAGCTGAAGGAACGAGAGGAAGAAGATCATTTAAGAAAACAGAGACACACAGAAGAGCTCAGAGCAAAACAAGAAGAACAGAAAAGAACGAGAGAGAAATTTGAAAAGGAGATAGATTATGAAAGACACAGAAGAGAAGAAGAGAAACATCAATGGATGGAAGCAGTGAGAAAAGAAAGTGAGAGAAGAGAGAGAGAGTACGAGGAAATGAAAGATTTAATGGAGACTGAGAGGAAAAAACAGCAGGAAGAATTGGAGCAAATGAGGAGGGAACTGTGGGAGAAAAGAAAACATGAAGATGATGAAAGAAGAGAAGAAGAAATTAAAAAACTGCAGAAAATTATAGAGGAGATGGAGAGAGAATGGCAGGAGGAGAACAAGAGGAGAGAGAGAGAACGGGAGGAGGAGAACAAGAGGAGAGAGAGAGAATGGCAGGAGGAGAATAAGAGAAGAGAGAGGGAACGGGAGGAGGAGAACAAGAGGAGAGAGAGAGAATGGCAGGAGGAGAATAAGAGGAGGGAGGAGAGAGAGAGAGAACGGCAGGAGGAGATTAAGAGGAGAGAGGAAAGAGAGAGAGAACGGCAGGAGGAGAATAAGAGGAGAGAGAGAGAGTGGCAGGAGGAGAGTAATAGGAGAGAGGAGAGAGAGAGAGAACGACAGGAGGAGAATAAGAGGAGAGAGAGAGAGCGGCAGGAGGAAAATAAGAGGAGAAAGGAGAGAGAGAGGAAATGGCAGGAGGAGAATAAGAGGAGAGAGACAGAACGACAGGAGGAGAATAAGAGGAGAGAAAGAGAATGGCAGGAAGAAGATAAGAGGAGAGAGAGAGAATGGCAGGAGGAGATTAAGAGGAGAGAGAGACAATGGCAGGAGGAAAATAATAGGAGGCAGGAACAGGAAAAATCATGTGTCATTCTATAAAGCTAAATGTTAGTCATGATTATGATACAACATGATAATTCTTAAAAGCTAAAGATATTAGAAATTACCAGTTTAATCGATTATGATGCTAAAAAAAAATTTCTTTCCTAACCAATGTCCTGTATATTTTCTACCCTTCTGTTTGTTTGGATAACATTTTCATATGCCATTACCTCCTGTGTGTGTACTTCTTCATATGACTGTATACTAAGAACTTCAAGTGCAATTCTTACCCCGTTTGGCACGTGTGCTTTTTGTATAAAAACTCATTTATGCCAGATGGGAGAAAAAAGTCTTTCATCCATCTCTGATTCTGGATACATTAGTTCAAAATAATGACTCATTTTCTTGACATTTTTTTAAAACTTTGGTCTCTTTCTCTATCTTTAATCTAGTTGAGTGTTTGGATACTTTCATTCAGCTTCATTGTCTTTATAATGCATTTCTGTTTAATGATGTGTTTATGGAAACGTTCCTTTTGTTGTCTTGGGAAGCTTAAAACAACACCTTTACTATGTATGATTTTCCATCATTATTAAAGATTTAATTATGTAGGAAAAAGCAGGTAGCACTTTATTTTACAGTATGGTAACTAACTTGTATGTAGTAGGTAAATATGTGGTACTTACCAGTAATTTCTGGTACATACTTTGCACACACTTAGTAACAATATGAAGTATCAGGTATGCACAACAGTACATACAATAATTTAATAGGTGAATATGTAATACACGTATTACTTACAAGTATTTTTTTGTGCACAATTTCAGTTCAATATGTACATACACAGTAACTAATGTAAGAAATACAAGGTATATTTTAGTGATTCAGCATTTCAGTACGTACATGCATAAGTGACACAGAAGTACACAGCGAGACAGAGTAGGAACCTTTATTACAGTACAGTAATTCATTCCATATTATTTGGTATATTTACTGGTAATTCTCTGTAATACTGTGGTAATACTGTGGAAAAAGGATTGTAAGATAATGTAACTTTGTACACAGTAATTAAACTGTAAGTACCTTTTCTCCTATTGTCATATCAGAAATAGACCACACATACTACAACGTACATACTGGTAATTTCTCCGTAATATGATGCAAACAGGACCATAAAATAAAGTGCAACTTCATGCGTAGTAATTACATGGAAACTATGTATTTTCTTGTCTTATTGAGAGCATAACCACGCATAATGTTCAAATAACTATTCATAATGCTGTAGTTCTGATCTGGGTTAAAGCACAGCAAGTGGTAAGTGGTGTCTATGTTTTAGTGTGAAATATGAATGAATGAAGTAAAAAACAACACACAGAATTAAAGAAAAAATGGAAACGTATTGTACTAAAGCAGTTCACTACAATACACAAGTAACTGGAATTACAGTATATTTACAAAACATGGAAGAATCCAAAAGTAGAGGAGCAAACAGCACAGCAGAGGAGTCAAGCTGCAGAAGTTAGCAGACCACTGACATATCTTAAACAGTCCCACACATGACATGGAAAAACCTCTGGACCAGAGTGCCGAATTGCACTGGAACAGCGGAGTTACTGACTATAGCCTGATACCGTTTCCATAGTATTACAAAGAACTTATCAGTAAACATATCAATTACTATGGAATTAATTAGTGTTCTGGAAAAAAGGTACTTACTAAGTACACAGTGGTAGGTACTCTGTGATTTTTCTGCCTTTGTCACCTGTACCTGTAATCTACTCACCTCTATCGCATAAGCTTCACATAGACATGTACTTCCTGAAGCAGTTTGGTAGTACTTGCCATTACCATGCAACTTTTCAGTATATGAAATATACTTTGTGTTTCTAATATTAGTTGTGGTAACGCATTAAACTTGGATCAAGTATTTAACACTTGTATATACTACAGGGAGATTCATTCGAATGAGGCCCCGGATATTTTGTTGTAACTCCTGTTAGGATGAAGTAATCTGAACCAAAAAAATACGCTACATACCTTGATGTATGTGTAATGGATTGCATTACATGCAATGCTGGAAGTGATCTCCGTTTTCTGCCAGACACATGAAGGGGTATGGGGGTATACACTCGGAAGTTGCAAACGGAGGTTAAACGTCGCAACGGCTGTCCGGCGCCTACCTAATCGCTCCGACGCAGGGGCATCCCAGCCTGTTCAGAGCTCCATATACTGAGGAGCACATTGCACGTTGTTTCGTTCAGATTGATTCGTCCTGGCGAGAGTTATTACAGAATATTTGGGGCCTTTTCGAGTGAATCTCCCTGTACATATTTACCATTAAATTCTGATTAAGTACTGCTGGCACATACTAAAGTAAGTACCTGAAAAATACCTGTGAGAGTACTACAAATTTATAAACGTACTATATAATTACCTACTAAATACTAGTCACTTACTGTATGTAAAATAAAGTGCTACCAAAAAACACTACACAGTGTTGCAAACATTGTCAGAAGGGAACGGAATACAAGAATTGGAAAACCGTATTCAGAATACAGAAATCATCAGTACTCAGCCCATGTTACATTATGAAAAGGCAATATTTAGAATAAAGTTATTTTTACAGTTTTGAGAGAACACTTTTAAAATATTTTTTTACTAAAAAAATGAAACGCTATCCATGCTTGTTTATTAACTACTTTAAAATGTAGTTAGTCACTGAAGTGAGAACAGAATGAAAAGAGAATAAAACAAAAAGAGAAAGGAAAGACAGTACACAGAAGACAGCAGATTCAGAGAGGAGGCCTCAGCTGTGGTTCTTAGAAAGCAGATATTGAACTTCCAATAAGTTGACAGAGCATATAACACAGATTTTTGTTCTATTCACTTACTATTTGAAGTTCAATTCACTCAAAATTTTAAGGTAGCCTGGTAATCCCCAATTTTATTTTATTTTTTACAATGTGGGTTATTGCAAATGCTTTTCCATAACCTTAATAGTAATAATAAAAAAACATAAAGCCAGTTAAACCACACATTTTGAAAAGTTTGAAAAGTTATACTCATCTAAACTACAAATAAAACAAATCGTTAAATATTTTATGAATGTTTATCATGCTCTGAATCATACTTGGGCTATTAAATAGATGTGGAATATAAATTAGTAGTTGGTATAGTGTAGTGCTCAGCATCGTTGCCTTCCGTGCTGTAGACTGATGTTTGTAAATAATGATCAAATTGTAAATTGCTCTGGATTTTAGTGAACAGCTTACTGCACAGTCCAAGTACAGGCATGTTCTCTAGCTGTATGCAAGTTTCCTGTTGCCACACTGAAATTTGCTCGTATTTTAAAGTATTGCACTGTGATAGGTATGTGTCTCACAAAACTAAGCTGCTACACTCTGTTGCCACAAACCGCTTTTTTCAGATGTAATGAGAAAGAAAAAATGTGAACTCTATATACTAACACATTTGACAGAAACACCACTATATATAATCATAATAAGCCATATTAGTATATAAGAAAGAAAACATTTTTGAATGCAGGGGTCTTTAAAACACATTTCCACTTTATTGTCCAACTTTACCTGAAAATAATTAGGTTTGTGACAAGAACACAAAAAACCACAAGGGATTTTTTTCTTACTTAGCAGTTGTGTGTTACGCTTCCCTAGCTGGAACTACAGCTGACTCGGTCGCCTCGGACTCCATTTCCCAGTTCCCATTTTCCAGTTTCTGTGTCTGATCATGCCTTTTTTAATTTTCGACCTTGTTTTTTGCCTTGTCTTTTTGCACTGTTGTTGATTTAGGGTTTTCGACCTTTTTTTCTGGATTACGACTATTATTTTGGCTTGCCCCTTCATTAATAAAACTCCTAAAACTAGCCTAATTTGTGAGTGTCTGGTTCCGTCTGTCCCATTACATGTGAGTCTTCTGGTTTCTTTTTCAAAGTGTCTCACTTTTCAGACATTCATTTTAATGATGATCCAATGTTTTAACAGATTGGAACAGTGTGAATTAAGTACAAATTACAACACAGGTTTTACCATGTGCACTATCAAGAGTTATACTATATGCAGTTCTTTTTTTCTGTTGTGTTAAAATACATTGTTGATTACATTTAGCATTCAGTATTAAGTCATCACTACTATGCAGATTTTTATTCTGCTAAACTTTGCCTACAAATTATACTTTTCAGCTAAGCAGAGACTCGTTACCTTATCTAAGTCACAGTTGTTTAAGAAACAATAGAAAGTATCAGAAAAAGCACTTAACAACCTCTAATTTGAAATATACCAATTAAGGAGAGACAGTTACTTTGTTGTGTTATGTTGTGAAAAACTTGAAACTTGAGAGTCTTGTTATTCTGAAGTAAATATCTATTAGAGCTTTGTTAAAATAACACAAGGTGAGTAAGTTTGGCAACCCAGCACTGGATCCACTATGCTTGATTCCAGCATGGATTATTTCTGTGTTCTGGGTTGTGGGTCATTACTAAACACTGTTGGATAAAAACAACTATACTGGAGTACATTTCATATTAGAACCATGCAGTTGCAAAGCAAGTGTTTCCCAAAACCAGGTAACTATGTTGGTAAATTATATGGTACAAGCCATTATTAAGCAACAAAGATTTTTCCTAAAACCATAATTCGACCAGATGTTTGCAAACACTTTTAAGTTGTATAGTAACTACATCATCAGTGGCGGATGATACAGCTAAAAGAAGATAAGCACTGATAATGTCAGTAAGCTGAAAATTTGCATTAATCTTGCTGTACAAACATATGTAATGTCAAGTGATGTAGTTGTAAGAGTACTTTTTAATGCATTTCTGTGTTTATGAGTATGATTGCATTTATCAAATAGTATCACCATAACCCATATGTGCATTAGCTACACTGTATGGACAAAAGAATTGGGACACCTTCACATTAAACCTACAGGAGCTTTAATGACATTCCATTCTAAATCCTTAGGCATTTATATGGGTTTGTAAGCCCTTGGTAGTTATAACAGCTTCCACTCTTCTGGGAAGCTTTCTTAAAGATTTTGGAGTGTGTCTGTGGGAATGTTTGCCCATTCATCCAGAAGAGCATTTGTGAGGTCAGACACTAATGTTGGGCCGGGCTCACAATCTCCGTTCTTGTTCATCCCGAAGTGTTCAATGGGCTTGGCATTGTGCTTGGTGATGTAAGGCTCACATACAGCTGCTTGCCTTGAAGCTCCCGATGTGCTGTTTTTGTGCTGATCTTAATACTAGGGGAGGTTTGGAACTCTGCAGTTATTGAATCAATAGAGCGTTGATGACTTTTATGCACTATGCGCCTCAGCACACAGCGAACTAGTTGTGCAACTTTACATGGTCTGCCTCTTCATGGAGTTGCAGTGCTTCCACTTTTTAATAATACCACTCACAGTTGATTGTGGAATATCTAGGAAGGAAGAAATTTTGTGAACTGACTTGTTGCAACGGTGGCATCTGAATGGACTGAATTAAACACTTGAAGTTAATGATTAAAATGTGTGTCCCAATACTTTTCTCCACATAGTGTATGTAATGTAATGCCAAAATATGCTCTCCCAATATTATCTCACTCCAAGGTGTTTCTGTGGTGTAAACACTAGAGTGGGAGGTGTTTAAGTAAGCTAAATATAGTGGGGTTAAAAGGAAGGCAACTGCACATTTGCTGTCAGGGCCATGTTGTGCAGTAGTGCTGTAACCACAAACACAGCACCGCATTTTTGTGAGGTGCAGTAGCAGGCCACCAGCAGACTTGCTCAGACACCAGAAACGCTGCTTGCACATCCCTATGGCCCTCTACATGACAGCATGAGTTCTGGAATGAGCGTTGTTGTATTTCTCGTCTGCCTTGAAGGGTCGCAAATGGTAGCCACTGTCTCCTAAGAGCCGGCAGCCCCTAAAGTCACCACTTTCTGCCACTTGGCAGAGAGCAGAGTTAGCCTAGATGAAGGCATTTTGGGTACTCCCTGGCCACTTCATGACAGTGTCTACAAATACACCCTGATAGTCAAAGACTATCTGGATATTCAGAGCTGACTAACCTTTCCAGCAGTTAACTTCTCATCAAGATGTAACAGCACCTGAATTAAAGCTGTCACAGTTCTGCTGATGGAAGCCTTGCTGAGATATGTAAAAATGCAGTACAGCCAAAAGATACACAGCTGGACAAAATGTGAAATAATTGCCTGAGTGAGGCAAAGAACTTGAGGGGGTTGAAGGTGGTGCAAATGAACACATTTATGTAAACCACCTCATGGTACAACCATAACCCAATTCTTGAAAAGAGTACTATAAAACATTTTTTTAAAAGTTTTCTCTAATGTTTTATAGCAACATTAACTGCCTATCAATTACGTTTACCAGTCATGTGGAATATAATAACTACATTAGCAGAAAACAATGTTACTGCTCACTATGCACAGTACAATATACAACACACACACACACATTTTCTAAGCCAATTCATCTTTCTGGGTTGTGGGAGGAGCTGGAGCCTATCCCAGCAGTCATCGGGCAGAGGGCAGGATACACCCTGGACAGGTCACCAGTCCATTGCAAGTCAGACAGACAGACACACACATTTACACACACTCACATATACAAGAGAATAAAACAATATTTTATAGCGGTCTACAATGTCTGAATTATCAAGGAATATAAACAAAGATCACTGAATTATATTCTACACTCACACTTACCTCTAGGATCCTACGTCAGGGTTGGAGAAATGCATGTGGCTAATAAAGTGACCCTGAGTCACCCTGAGTGTGTGAAGGAGGCTATCACAGGTCCTTCCTTCCCACTGCTTTTGGACTGTACAACCAGCACTGTTCCCAGTAGAACCTCCTCCCTCCACCCTTGTCAGACTTCATACACAGGAGGCAAACTCTGAATTCATCCCCAGACCCATGTGCAATATAATTAAAACTTAATATAATTAAAACGTGTACAATATCCTTATACCGTACATTTTCTTTTTTTACTTATAATGTTGGTATTGTTAATTTAATTTTGTGAATGATATATTTTATATATCTCTATTTTTTATATCTATATATTTTTGGAAAATTTTATGAAGGAATTTATTTTTTAAAAAAAGCTGCTGCTGCAAAAAAATAGAGGTGGAAGGGAAGACAAAAGAACACAATATGTCCCTATTCTGAAGTATCAAAATAATTAAATATATTTAAGAGATTAATAATAAAGAGCAAAATTTTAGATTATTTTAGCTTTCCTGGTATGAGATGTTCCCAGGTTGTGACCTGTTCAAGAAGCTGTAAACAAGGCTTGTCTTCAACTGAGGAACAACAACAGTTTCTGTCACATCTGGTCATCTGATTGGTTCTTCCACATGGAGGGTGTTTGGTGTAATATATCTCACCCCTACCACAGCTGTCTGATATCTGGACATAAAGTTCATATCATGCCCATGCAATTATACAACTAGTGTGTCAATGATGAAAATTATTACAGGCATGATTTTTCATATTTCATATTTCATGAAATATATCTATGTTTTATATATCTGTTTATTTTTGGAAAATTTAAACTTTATTTAAGGTATAATGATTAAATGAAAAAAAAAAAAACTAATCTTGTCATGACAAAATATTTTTTTAATCCTATGTTTGCCACATTTATTAGTACCCCTAAAGAAAGCGTGAAATCAAACTAAATTATATTCCTTTGATATTTTATGTGTTTTAAGTTCACCTGAGTGATTAGGAAGATTTAAATGGTCAGCCATGACTTTCTGTATCACTGGGGCATATATATGACATGAAACACAGGCCAAATTCCCTCAGTTACGAGAAAGACCAGAGAATACATCACAGTACAATAATTAAGAAGTTTAAAATAACTGGAGAATCTGTTTACCAGAGGTGCCAATATTTGTGGAAGGCACTGTATATAGCATCTTTAATATGTTAAAATGCTCAAAGTACTCTACAGTAAAAACAGAGCAAGAAGAGTAAAAAAAAAGATAATAAACAGAAGAACACACAAATAAAAAAGCAAAAGTGGTTATATTAATAATAATTAAAAATTGGTGCACAAAATCAAAGCAACAAAAGTAGACAGCCACACAATCCAAGGGGCATAAATATGGAGATTCATATAAATAAAGGAATAAAGCCATTTACATAAGAACATAAGAAGCATTCATCACACATGCATAACATTAAGGGAGAGGGAAAAAAAAAACCAGCTTATATACAAAATGTTTATGCTGACTAAAGCTTTACCCACATCTCAAAAACAATACAGTAAATTATACAGATGCTCTTATTAAAATACTTGAGAGATCTGACCCAACATACACCAGAAAAGGTTTCCAAATATCATAGAAGACATTAGTTTCAGAACGTCTAAAGATACATGTTCAAAAACAACTCTGTGCGAGCTTGCTATAGAGCAGGGATGTCCAAAGTCCAGCCCCAGGGCCAAATGCAGCCCACTGACAGATTTTAATTGGCCCCCAGCTTCTGTTTTACGGTGTATTATAAGTGGCCCGCCAGCCAGTACGTTGTAGTTCTTCTTTTCACCTGATGGTGGCAGCTGACCAGACCTGCAGCTTCATTTAGTGAGCAACATTTAGTCAAGACTACAGACATAAAGCTCAAATTAAACACTGAAAACTGCCGATTTTGGCAAGATGTTAACTTCTTATCAGAGTAAATTCAGTAGTTCAGTAAATATTAACCCTTTAACGTTGAACAAAAACGTGGCTACATTGTGTTTATTTGATATGTAAAGAACATGACCTAACAATATCAAAAATGTATAGATTCTTGTTTAGTTTGTCTCACAAAATATATTTTTTTAACAAGTAAACACTTAAATAGTAATATGACTAATACAATAGACATGTTGTATTGTTACTTTTAAACAATTTAATTATTTAATGTAATCAATCCAAACTGTTCTGAATGAACAATCCAACAATAAAAGAAGCCTTGTGCATCTTTTATACAGTCATAGGAAACATGGTAGCTCACAGAAAGCTCAGTTTCTATGCACTGATATTTTGAAAACTTAGTATTTTGAATCATTTGTGAATAATATGTCTGCCCTCAGGTATTTTAACACAGTACAATCTGGCCCTCTTTGAAAAAAGTTTGGACACCCCTGGCCTAGGCTCCTTAGTTCCAGTGAAAGGAAATCTTAATGCGTCAGCAGACATTTTGCAAAATTTAATGCTTCCAACTTTATGGGAACAGTTTGGGGAAGAACCTTTTCTGTTCCAGTATGACTGAGCCCCAGTGTACAAAGCAAGGTCCATAAAGGCCTGGCTGGGTGAGTTTGGTGTAGAAGAGCTTGCCTGCACAGAGCACTGACCTCAGCTGCATCAAACACCTTTAGGATTAACTAGAATAGATGAATGGGCAAACATTTCCACAGATATACTCCAAAATCTTGTAGAAAGCTTCCCAGAAGTGTGGAAGCTGTTGTAGCTGCAAGGGGAGGGGGTTTACAAAAAACCCCCAAAACCAACGTACAGACATATGTACACACATAATAATAAACAGGTCAGGAAGTAAACATACCTTGATACCTTTATGATTTGACTACAATTTGGTTAGGAAGAAACAGTCAGGGTCAGATCCCCGTATACATATTAGAATTCTACTTAAAGAATGACTGACACATGGAAGAGGAGACATTTCAGCTTTTCAAAATATGCAATTATGGCATCCCAAGTTCTATGGGATTTTACAGATGCCTTTCTATGAGGCCTTTGGTGGATAGGGTGATTTCCAATTAACCAATATCCTCCGAGGCCGAGGCCTCCTTAATTCTATTTGAAATTTTTAAATCTATGTTAATCAGTCCAAGTAAACGTATTTCAAAATTTGGTACAATCTCTAGTTTAAAAGCTCCTGACAAACAGTTAATAATTAACAACCAGAAACTGGACAATACTGGACAAGTCCAAAACATATGTATCAGGTCAGTCTATCCCATGTGTCACACATCCCACCAGCCCTGCCTCATCCATGAACTCAGTTTCCCAGAAGTCTCTTGGTGATCACTTAACACCCACTTATATCTATCATTGCTCAGCTTCCCCTGAGTACAAATGTTTTGCACCTGTGTCTTTAACTATGTAAGTTGTTTGGAGTCTGAACCTTTTTGCAAGGTAGAGCTACTGAGCGCCATTTCTGAACCATTTTTCTGTATTTTTGTCTTTTAGCCTTTTTTCTCTTAGGACTGTTTGCCTGGGTTTGTCTTTTGTTTCGTTTGTATGTTGTTGTATTCGGTTTTCCTGGTTTTGACCTTTGCCTGTTTTTCAAACCCCAGTAAAGTCTCTTTTGTCTCTTTTATCTGCACTTGTCTGACCAGTTCTGTTATGTCACACTATGTTGAATTTTTGCCAGTTTCACTCTGCAGTAATGAACACTGTAAAGGATCTTAAACTGAATATGACTGTGTCATGCACATGATAAAGATCTGTTAATTATGTTCATAGCAGATTCCCATGTTTCATCAGATATGACCAAACTCGACTCTTCATTCCCAGCTGCACAAATTTTCATGTACAGCTTCCGTGTAAAGCGTGCACACTTTACACTTTATTTATCCTGAGTAATACAGGAGTATCTTCCAAAGAAGTTTTAGGTGGCAGAGAGAGAAAGTAAGAGCATTGAATATGCATGATATTCTAAATTTGAAGCTATCTGTAAAATGAAGATAAGAGAAGTGCAGTAGAGCTAACTGAAAGCTGCTCAAATAGGAAGGTTTTTAGCCTGAATTTAAAAGTGTGTAGTGTCAGGGCTCTTCTAATGCTCTTTGTCAGCTGGCTCCATTTAAGAGCAGCCCAGTAGCTAAAAGCTGCTTCTCCATGTTTAGAGTTTAGTTTAGGACTAACTGATTAATTCCTAATGATCTGAGAGTTCTGCTCGGCTCATATTGCTACAGCACACGAGATAAATATGCTGCTCCTACACTATTAAGCGATTTATAAACCAGTATAGAGTCAGTGTTAAGGACTTACAAATGGGAGTGGTGTTCCCCTCTTTAACTCCTAGTGAGACTCTGGCAGCTGCATTTTGAATCAGCTGAAGCTGTGAGTCCAGTTGGGAGACCATTACAGTAATCAATCCTGCTGGAAATAAAAGCAGGGATGAGTTTCTCCAAGTCTGCTTTAGTCAGAACATCTCTGATCTTGTTAATGTTCTTAAGGTGATAAAATGCTGATTTAGTGACTGCTTTGACATGACTGCTAAAACTGAGATCTACGATTACATGCAAGTTCTTTAGATTTTAGAGCTCTTAAGTCCAGATAGCAGCTAGAAAGTGCCTCTAACTGCTATTCCTGAATGAAATAATCTGTTTTATTTTTAATAACTGCAGAAAGTTTTGTCCCATCCAATTAGTGATCTGCTCAAGGCACTCATAAAGTGAGTCAAGGGGATCATAGTTGTTTGTGGAGAGGACCAAGTAGATCTGACCATCATCTGCATAGCTGTGGTAAGATATCCCATAGTCTTGTAGTATTTGGCCAAAAGGAAGCATGTATAAATTAAATAAGAGCACCCCAAAAACTTGGGAACACCACAGGTAGCAGCACTAAACTGGGACATTTTAGCCATGATATCTTTATGTGGTGGTGGAGAGAACACAGGCTCTTTGGTGGATATAGATGTATTTATGGCTTGTTTGATATTGTGGATTAAAAGTATACAAACCTATTACAGTTCTGGGACATTTTAACCATGATATCTTTATGTGGTCATGGAGAGAACATGGGTTCTTTGGTGGATATTGATATAGTAATGGCTTGCCTGATATTATGGATTGCAAGGTATGCACTCATGACTTTATTAGTTTGTCAACCATTGTGAAGAGCGTTTTGCTGTTGTTAATATTAGTGTTGATATTGCTGAAGAA